TTACGAGTGGCTCAATGGGAAGATGAATAGTTGGCAAGGATTCGGGTAGAATTAGAGGATGGCCCAGTGCAGGACTATGAATTTGGAGATATGGGCATCCTGAAGTATAAGAACCGGATTTGTGTTCCCTAGGATGAGGAGATTAAAAGAACTATCCTAGAGGAGGCTCATCGAAGCCGTTACGCCATCCACCCCGGTGCAACCAAGATGTACCATGACCTAAAGCAGCAGTATTGGTGGCCCAACATGAAGAAGGAAGTGACTGACTTCGTACTTCGATGTTTGACTTGTCAGAAAGTTAAGATAGAGCATCAACAACCTGGAGGTTTGTTGCAAGGGCTAGAAATCCCTCAGTGGAAGTGGGACAGCATCTCCATGGACTTCATTGTGAGTTTACCGAGGACACCCGAAGGTTATGACGCTATTTGGGTAGTAGTGGACAGATTGACAAAATCTGCTCACTTTTTACCCTACAAAGTCAATTATACCTTGGAGAGAATGGCCAAGTTGTACATGGATGAAATCGTCAGGCTTCATGGGGTTCCATCGAGTATAGTCTCGGACCAAGATCCACGCTTTACTTCTAACTTTTAGAAAGCGGTGAATGCGGCTTTGGGTAATAAGTTGAAGTTCAGCACGGCATATCACCCACAGACCGATGGACAGACCGAGCGGACAATTCAGACGCTAGAGGATATGTTGAGAGCTTGTGCCATTAAATTCAAGGGGAGTTGGATTGATCACCTACCTTTGGCTGAATTTGCTTATAATAATAGCTACCATGCCAGCATCCAGATGGCCCCTTATGAAACACTTTACGGTTGGAAGTGTCGATCGCCTCTTTGTTGGACAGAACTGAGTGAAAGAACGGTTTTAGGACCAGACTTGGTAGATGCCACCACAAAGAAGATTGAGGTCATCAAGCAGAAGTTGCTGACAGCTCAGAGCCGGCAAAAGAGTTATGCTGATAGGAGGAGGAAACCATTAGAATTTTGTGAGGGTGACCATGTGTTTTTTAGGGTCACGCCGACTACTGGTATTGGGAGGTCCATTAAAGCGAAGAAGTTATCTCCTAGATTTCTTGGACCCTTTGAAATTCTGGAGAGGATTGGAGAAGTAGCCTATCGAGTTGCTTTGCCACCGCACCTGTCTAATGTACATGATGTGTTTCATGTGTCCCAACTAAAGAAGTACCACCCTGATCCGTCTCACATCGTAGAGCCTGAGGAGGTGGAGCTGGATGACAATCTAACTTACCAGGCTGAACCGGAAAGAATCCTTGATATGAAGGACAAACAGTTGAGGAATAAGACCATTCGACTGGTGAAAGTTTTCTGGAAGGGCATGAGTCCGGGTGATGCCACCTGGGAGACAGAGGAAAGGATGCGACGCGATTACCCTCGTTTATTTTCTTAGTAAGTGTTTTGTGTTTGTTTGTGTGGTGTATTGTGATTGCTTGAATTTTGGGGACAAAAATCCTTGTTGGGGAGAATTGTAACGTCCTGAGTTTTATCGGGTTTTAATAGCCTCTTTTTGGTTGATTTTAAGGATAGATTAGTGATTTAACCTTGTTCTTGGTGTTTGGCTTAGGATTGAGGTATGTTGGAGGAATAGGTGAACAATCCCTCTCAGGGTTTGTTCGCCGCGGCGAATCGGGAGTTCCAAGGGGGGAGTGTCTTTTTCGGGAAGGTTTGGCCGCGGTGAAATCAGAGGGACGCCGCGGCGAAGTTGTTCAGGTGAGCGAGGTTTCCCTCATGGGAAGGTCTCGTTGCGGCAAAGTTAGGGCATGCCGCGGCGAAGGTTTTCTGGGCGAGCAAGAGTTTCCTCTCGGGAAGCTTTCACCGCAGCGAAGTCAGGTTTTCAGGCGAGTAATCCCTCTCGGGATTAGTTCACCACGGCGAAGCTTTGGGTTCGCCGCGGCGAAAGGGGTCGAATCTATATAGTCGCTGGAGGGGTCAGATGTGCGTAAATTAGAAAATCTGAAGGAAGAGAGAGAGGCTCTGCTAGGGTTTTGAATTTTTGGCTTGGAGGGGGCATTTCTAAGGATCCATTACCTCAAGTAAGTGATTTTAACCTCTAATCTACTTTGTTTCTTAGAATTTCTGAGGATTTATGGTGAAACCCTAGAGTTTTCTAGGTTGTTATGGAATTAAGGTTTTTGACCGATTGTTTTGAGTTTAATCGATTGCTTTTGGTTAGTCTAAGTATTTAATCGATGTAGTTTTCTTGGATTTGAAGAACTTGGAGTTTTTGAAGTTAGGGTTTATGAGATTGGGAGGTTTGTGATTGAGGATGACAATGTGGAGGTTGATTTTGAGTTTTATGATTTGGGTTATGTTAAGGAGGGTTAAATTGGATGTTTAATCCGTTTAGAATGTTGTTAAGACTTCAATTGTTCAAATGGGATGTTTGGGTGTTGAATTCCTATAGTGGGTCCTTGAGGTTATGAGTTTTAATTGATGTTTGGAAAGGAATTAAGGTTTTAATGGATTTTTATGACCTTGGAGTGTTGCCTTGATGGTTATACCGTTTTTAGTTGGGTAGAGTTGTGGTTAGAGCTAGGAATTTTGTGTCCCCAAGTGTTGTTTTGGCCACATCATTAGTTGAAAGCTAATACATGTTGGTTGTGTGCTTGTGTAGACCGGTTGTGAGCCTTGTTGGTGCACGGGGCCGTGTCGTTGGTTTGTTATTCCTTGCTCAGGTGAGAGGTAACCACTTTCCAATCCTTTGTACATGCTTTTGTGGTATTGTAAGTGGATTTATGTTTTGTGCACCGAGTAACAACTGTGTTCAAAGTGTATGTTGTATATTGAAAAGGAAAACCGTCTTGTGGGGTTTAAATTGATATTGATTGAATCTGGAACTTGTGAAAAATAGGCCACTGAAAGAAGTTAGTTGTGAAATGATCATTTACTCTTTGATTACGGTTTGAGCATGATGCATGAATTGCGAATTGGTGAGAGTTTTGATTGTTACTACCACGTGATAAGGCCTCCATTAATGCATGATGGTTTACGTCCCCCATAGTGAGGGATAGGCCTTTTGGCTCCTTACGTCTCCCATAGTGAGGGATAGGCCGGGTTCGGCTCTTGAAAATCCCCCAAAGTGAGGGATATGGTTGATGGGATTGCATCATTGCACTTGCATGACTGGTTGTGGCTATCATTTATCATATTACTTGTGAACTGCCCCACTTGACACCTCACGAGCACCTATTTAGTAGTACCTTGAATTGGAAATGTTGGTTACTGGGACGTTTGTCTCACCCCGTGGTTTACAATGTTTTCAGGTGAAGATTCTAGGCGTGTGCCATCGGGAAGAGACGTAGAGGCTTGAGCTTGGTTAGCTTTAGGCCTCTAGCCCTTGTATATGTATGGCTAGTATATATTGCCACATTTAGGACCCCTTTTAAAATATTTTGATTACCCGGCCTTATTGTAAACTGGAGGGAATGTTATCTCCTTACTTTGGTTGGCCATAGGCCATTTCCAGTGTCTTATGAAACTCTGATTTATTTTGTTGGAAACCATTTGGATGGGCTGATGTGATGTCTTTTGTTACCCGGGCCGGAGGCTCGGAGGCCCAGTGGATGTAAATGAACGATTTTAGTTGCATGCAACGGAGTTTGAGTTTGAATCGAGTTTAAATGTTAATTTCAAAAATTATGCAAATTTCTTTCTACTATGGTAGTTTGTTGTAACAGCTTTCCTTTTCTACCATAGTAGTGATTTTATGACGAGTTTATACCTGTTTGGAGGTTAAGGGTTTTACACATAAGTCCCTTAATATTCTAAGCAACCAAGCATCTCATGTAATGACAGATTTTACATGTATTTGCCCAATTATGGCATTGCAAAAGTGATGTAAATCTGCATAATAGTTATGGAATGCTCAATCAGTAGGAAACTGTTTTGCTGTTTCAAGTAATAATGCTCATAATGTTTGAGGCTGAAATTATAGGCATTTTGGATCAGATGTTTGCGATCTTTTTAAGTTGTAATCTGCTGAGGGATTAACATCTCAGCTCTTATTTATTTCCTTTGGAATGATCAATGCATATAGTTGGGGCTAGGCCTGTAGTAATAACTCAAAATCAGATTCTAATCTGATAAGATCTTTGACCATCCTAATGAAATGACATCCTAACAATATAAAATTAATAATACAATCAGGAAAAAATTAGAAATCATTAAAGCTAATAAACCATAATAAATTAAAGAGCTAAAGTTTTATTGTTGAAATTGCGTGCATATTGAAAGAATTTTGTAAAAGTATAAGTTTAGTATTGGAATTCAATTGATACATATTAGTATCGATATACTGGTCCCCATGAGGTTCTCAATGAAGATTCCCCTGCTACAAGTATTTTTAATTTCTTTTAAATCATGATGAGTCTGATACATCATCTGCTTGCTAGATCAATAGTATTCCAGTATGTTTTGGCCATATCCAGGCAATACTCTTCATTTATATTTTACACTGACAGGCTCATCATAAGTTACCAAATGCCTTGAAGCATTGCAACTATCAGAGTGAAATCTATATCAGCTTTACATGAGGGGGAATTTTTTTAGTTAGGTAATTGAATCTATAATGCAAATAAACAAACTAGGATGCTTTACACATGATTAACTTGCAACATTCTCATGTCATGAGTTTTATGTCAAGAGCAACCAAATGCTTGTGCCATCACCATTACACAACACTCATCCACCGACTATGATGAACGTAATATGGAAGCAACAACACAATCAGATGTTTGTACTTTGATAGCTCGAAGAATGAGCTTTCTTAGATAGAAGCCAATTCCAACAATACAACAATAAATATAAAACGAATAACCAAAAAAAGCAAATGAAAGCAAAAAGGCCCAATTTACAGAAGTTACGAATAAGGGTTGGGAATTATAGATGTTTGTATACAATAATACATATAAAACTCCAATAAAAAAGCATATATATCAAAGACCAGTATACATTAAAGCTTGCCTAAATGTGTACCTCATTTTCCATCTCCCAGAATGAATTGCAGAGAATCCAATCAACCAAATGAAGTGCTAATCCTCTGCAATGTCACTAGTCAAGGCAGTACTAAAAGGCAATCACTTAGTACCAATAGAAATATTTTCAACAAAACTAGAAGGGAGATGTGAACCTTGAAATAAAAAGTAACCCACAAATAAAATGACATCTAAAAGGGAATCTGAACCAGAAGATGAAAACAAGAAATAGAATGCCAAGAAGCTACCCAGTGACGAATCTGAACGCTGACGATGAAAATAGAGGAGGCCGATAGAATGGAATAGAATCTAAACTTTGAAGAGGAGACCGAAGAATGTGAACGGACACAACAACGTGAACGGGAGGCCGACACTCTGAGTCTCAAAACCTGCACATTCAGGCGCGATTTGATCTGAGGAGGAGAAATGGAAGAAGAGTAGGAGTGGAGGATTGGAGGCGCCTTTACTGGACTGGCAGATGATGGTGAAGGGGTTTCATCAGAGAAATAAACCCTTAGGCGTTGAGGAAACCCTTAGAAGTGGTCTGGCTCCTCCTCTTGCGATTCTTGTAATTTTTCAAAAGAAGGAAATTAGAAAAAAAATCCTAAAGAGAGCAAATTTGTGATATTTGTGGAGAGAAAATGAATTTTGCCTTTGCAAACGGAGGGAGGGAACATGTGAATATTTTGGAGGGGCAAGATTTTTCACACACATATAGATATAAAATCTAATTAAATGTTTCTTTAGTAAAAAATTATAAAATAAAATTGTTATTATAGAAAATATACTTAGCATTAAAATGATAAATTAATTATTAAAATTATTCCTTTTAATTATAATACCTCTCTCTCACATATATTATCTCACTTTTAATTATATCACATCTCTCTCACACACACTCTATCTTTCAGTACCTTCCCTCTCAACTTTCCCTCCTTTTTTTTACCAACAATTTTTGCCATCTAAGTATGTAATTAGAGAAAATTAATACATACCTCAAAACCTAAATAGTAATAATAATATAGAAATACTGTCCAATAATGTTAAACTAATATCATACATATATATATAGTGATATAAATATAAGATATATCAAGAAATAAGCATTAAAAAGAATATAATAATGTTAAAATAAAAAACATAAATATAAGACACTTCAATAATAAAGATTTAAACCGCAGTTTATTCGAAATATTTTTATCAAATTTAATACAAATATATTTGAAATCTTTGATAATAAAATATAGATATATTTAAATATGAGATTTACAAATTAAATTTAATCCACAGGATTATAATGATAGGGGCAGAATCTCTAACTTATATGTTACCTGGATGAAATTTTTTTTTTAAGTAAAGTTGTCAAGCTTTTTATAATATTCTAATCAAATATTTTTAGATCTAATAAGATTTTTCTTATTATAGTCTTAGATCTACTCTATAATCTCTAATTTTCTTTTCTAATTATCATTTCTCAATTTCTGGATGACTAAAAAGAAATTCAAAATATTTATAATTATTGTTTTAGAAATTCAAGATATTGATTCTCTTTTTATACTTTACCATCCCCTTGTTTATCTTAGATATTCTTACATATAATTTCATTATCAAATGAGCATTTACTATTACTCCAAGTCACAAATGAGAATTAGGATACACACACACACTATAGATTAGTTGAGTACCTCAGTCAAATAATGAAGCTAACCCAACATACTCGCTTTTGGATCTAAACTAACCTTGCCAAAACTTCTGTTGAACTTTCTTTTTTTCGAACAGATCAAGTATACGCAAATTGAGCTAAATTGACCTCGTTATTAGGTTTTCAGCTTAACTCTATAGTTTATGGCGCCCTTATTATTCATTCAATGAAAATAAGTCAATAAATAATATTTCAATATGTTGTTAAATAAGTTATCAATTAGGTAAAAGTTCAACATGTCTTTACGCTTTCCACATATCTCATCATATCTAAAGAAACTTTTCACATATCTTATCATATCTAAAGACACTTATTTGACACTAATGTTGAAAGAAAGAGCAGCAATCTGACAAAAAAATTAATCATACTGTAACAAGAAAATAAAATCATATTACGAATTATATTCAGATTTTTAATTTAAGTTCACAAGCTCAAAAAAATATAATCAATTTCAAAAAAGTGCCTAATAAGGATATCAATTTTCTTCTATTTCCCAATAGAAAATATGTATAAATAATTAAACTATTATATTTTATATATATAGATATATAAATTGTTAAAATACATGTCTAAATAATTACACTATTATATTATATAAATTTTTCAAATTTTATAATCATAATGTAGAATTTTGTGAATTTCATGTTAGCGATGGATTTTGTGACAGAATTTTGCGACGGAAACAAATTCTGTCAGAAAATCTGTCACAAAATAGGAGTAGAAATTAGCGATGGAAATATTCCGTCGCAAAATTCCGTCGCTAAGCCTATTTATTGACGGAATTTGCGACGGAACTATTCCGTCACTAAAGTCCGTTAGAAATCCATCCCAAATCCGTCAAAAAAATTACCGACGGAATTTTCGTCAAAATTCCATTAGAAATTAGCGCCGGAAAATATTCCGTTGGAAATTAGCAACGGAATTTTTTTCCGTCGCTAATAGACTTTTTTTTTTGTAGTGAAGCACACTGGTCAAGTGATGTGAACAGGCCAAAATCCACAGAGTACAAGACCGGACTATGGGTTCCCCCTTTGGTCTACTAACGGGGTGTCATGTGCCTTACAACACACGAAAGGGCGAAGGGATCAACCAGTATGCATTTGGCATCCTACCACCATATTACCTCTATAATATATACAAAATTTACCCCCTTATTTCCTCTATAATATGTCTCCCATCAATCAACATTCACCATCCTCTCTCGTATTTATACTCATAAAATTTATAAAATAATTAGTTACCAATAACATAATAACTTTTACATTTACCAAAATCAAAATTTCTAAATTTCAATAATTAACATCAATTCTCAAAACTATTTCTTAATAAATTTGTGTCCCATATAACAACTTTATAGATTCATAATTTCATAACTATTTTTTAATAACATGAAGCATCTCAAGATAATTTCAACAATAATACATTTCATTGTTCAAATCATATCCCAAGGGCATTTCAAGAATCTCATGTAATTCGAAATCACTCACAAACATTATACAAGCATACATAACAAGTGGAAAGTGGTTACCTTTCACCAAGGCTATAAAAAGGATTGCCACGAAGTCAACCATGTGCTCAAACCAATAACCGAATAATTAATCTACACAATTAATATAACCACATATTATCATAATCTAATTAATTAAGCTTATATGTATTAGTTAAATTTCTAATTTAATTTAATTTAACTTCTATTCTAAATTCTCACAACTCTCATAACCCAAAATTAAGTATTTTAGAACTAACTTAAATTTTTCTAACAAGCCAAATTATTCATTTATATCCTCCAAATTATTTACTTTAATAAAAAGAATTTTTCAAAATTTTCAAATATGAAATTATTATATTTTAAATTCTAAAAATCCCATTTGAAGTTTAAACCTCAAAACCAAGCCATCAAAAATTTAATAGCATCTCAAAAATTTATAAATAAATAATCTAATTAAAATTTTAATGGTATAAGTATCAGTTTTTTTTACAAATAATAAACTTTTAGCTAAAATAATTATTTTAAAATATCCAGTCACCTAATAAATAAAACTAAACTGATTAAATCTCAATAATATGTCAAACAACCCAAATAAATTATTTAACTTAATTTTGATGATATAAATACGATATATCTCATAAATAACAGATTTTTCAACTAAAAATTAATTTTTAAATATAAAACCAACAAATGGACAAATCTAAACCGGTAGAAATGATCTGCTATAATAGATCTACAATACTGTGGTTAAAAGTTATCAAAACTCAACACTTGCTCCAAACTCTTGATCTAAAAATTTTCTCTAAGCAACACAAAATTATTATCATTAGATAGATCCAACTAAGTAGAACAACTTTCATGAAGGAAGTTTTGTAATTAGGAGTAGTTTTACTTACCAAAGTGATCTATAATGATGGAGAAAGAAGTGAGAGAGAGAGATCGACGCTGCGAAAGAACATGGAGGGAGAGAGAGAAAACAAAAGAAAATGATGAGGGCGATGGTAAAAAAAAAGAAAAAAGCCCAGGGTAAGTTGAAGTTAAAGGCCCTATTTAAAATGGAGAAAATAATAGTTTGGAACCTCATTTTTTCCAATTTTTGAATATTTAAATCCTTGGAATAAAATTAAGAAGTTACATTTTTGACATAGGGAAGGGTTGTCAGATGTACAGAGTAGAGGTGTGGATATTATCATTGGCATGATGAGGAAATGGGGGAGAGGCCAATTGGGATTATTAATGAGCTTCTTGCGTATTTGGAAAGGTTCATTGTATGTTGACAATGTAAGGAAGAGAAGAGGAGATGATGAGCTTGAAGTAGAGATAGTTGTAATACAAAATAAGATGAGGAAGACTAAATGAAGAATGAGGACGGCGATAGGTGCATTGGTGGCTTCTTGGGTGTTTTTTTAATGAATCATATGTGTAGTCAGATGATATTAGAAGTAGAAATTACTATTTTGGTATTAAAAGCATAATTATATGTATTTTGTTGGAAGTCCATCGACCTTTGTGGACATTTGGGAATATCGTCATATAGGAGTTACGAATGTTGTAACCTCAGTGTGTCAAAATTTATGTTACTCTATTTTGAAGGACAAAATTTTGTGCTAATTGTCTGATTGTGTGTAAAAGTTTGGATTTTGTGCAAAATAAAGTGTTGGATTTTGCATAATATGTAAAGAAGAATGTATCCGAAGATGAAGACACTTGAAGCATAAAGGGGACCATTGATATAATTGTGAAATAGGAAAGAAAGTGTAATAGAAAAGAAGAAATAGTTGGTAAGGAAAGATAGTAATATATTTGATAAGTTTAGAAAGTTTCATGAAGTACATCACAGATGAACATCACATTTGCAATAGAGCAACATTTCAAAATATCACTTTGATCAATCTCAAAGTGATAAATATTAACATATTCATGTGTCCAAGGCTAAAAGATGTAAAATATGACAACCATCATTCCAAATTATCATAAGGATCCAATCAAAAGGTGGACTATTACAAAAAATTAACCTAACTACAAAAGATGCAAAATATGACAATCATCCTAGAGCCTAATTGCCTAAGTCCTAAAGTTGTTGAGTCTTCCTCTTCTTACATTGGCCTTCCTTTTAGCTAGTTCAAGCTATAGGAGACTTGTTTCCTTCAACAAGAAGCTTTGAATTTGTCATCACAAGTTGTCCACTCGACATCAGCCTTCAAGGAGAATATGGTAGATCAAAAGCTGTTGAAACTATAGCTCCATCATCATCATATTAGATTTTTCAAGATACCTGTTATGAGGTGAAGGTTGT